ATTATTTTCCACATCACATTTCCTGGACTCACCCAGAAGAATATCATGTTTGTCTTTGTCACATGTCTCATTAAACTAAGAAATAACTATCAATAGTTCCCTCTCTTCTACCAATCTCCTGTAAGGAAGAAAATGAGTTGCTCCTGATGAACCCAAGCTGACGCCTACTGCCATATAAAAGGATTCTGATTTGTTTAACAAAGCTGAGTATTCACATTCACCTGGCTCTCCCCAGGTCCAAGGGAAGATATTACTCCTACAGGAACAATACAACTCGGTGACTCATTCCCGGGAGGGAGGTTACTCCTCTTGACAGCTAATCACAACCAGGCAGCATGATAATGAAGTAAGCCAAACTGACATAACTTATTTTCCTAGACTGCCCAATGCTGAGAAATTCACAGAGAAGGGTAGAATCTCACTCCTATTGTTTCCCAGTACCCATGCATAGTTCCCAGAACTTCATAACACAAGACCAGCCTTTAGGGGCACCTGGGTGGCTCAGTCAGTTGGGCATCTGCCTTTGGCTCGGGTCATGATCTCAGGGTCCTGGGATTGAGTCCTGTGTCAGGCTTCCTGCTCAGCGGGGAGCCTGCTTCTCCCTCTCCCTCTGTCTACCGCTCTGCCTACTTGTGCTCTCTCTCTCTCTCTGTCAAATAAATGAACAAATAAAATCTTTAAAAAACAAAACAAAACAAAACAAACAAGACCAGCCTTTGAATAAGGTTACCTTCTCTGTTCACTATCTAAATCACCAGTTTTTACTGAAAAAAAGTTCACTATCAATTGTGTAATAGTCATTCCTAAGGGTGTTCCTAAAATACAGGTCTTTATGGCATAGCTTTTGATAATACTTTTCTCTGCCAGGAATTATTTTGGTAGATGGTAGCCAATAAATACTTGATTTTGTTTCTTGCCTTACCTAAATCTATTAGTTTTTGGGGTCACAGGGTGTTAAATTTCAATTTGGAAATAGATTTTATCTATTCTGACTAAAAAGGTAATTTTTGAAAACATAATTATAATAGATCTGAGTATTGCCTAGCTCTCAGCTCTCCTTCCAGGCAGAGTTCATAATTCTATTAATTAATTTGTGCATATCGGAGGAATCTTTTTATTCAGGCACTGTCGTACATTCCAATAAATTCCTAGAAACTCTAGGTCAAATTGGATTCTGTCCTTGCCGTCTGTACTTTCTATAAGGAAATATAATACAAAACAATCCTATTTAATAACAGTTCTTGGGTGGGGCATGAAAAAGGAACAAAAATAAAGTTTGTAAGTAAAACTGGGTTTCTGTTAGGATGATTTCCAATATAAAATGGCATTTAACTAGCAGATCCTGGCATAAACTTTTTCAACTTCCAAATGAAATACTTAAGAAGAAGATGAATACCAAGATCAAAATAAAGAAACTGATCATTAACCTATGGGCAGAGGCAAGGGTAAAACTCCACTAAGTTTAAAGTCCAATGGAAATGGGAAAAATTCAATCAATTGCTCCCTTCTCCTATGCCCCTGGGGAAAAGAGCGGCACTCATGGGCCAGAAGTCAGGCAGTAAAACCCTTCCTCTCGTCCTGAATGATGAAATAAAAGACTGCAGCAAGGAGAAACCTTAGACAGCCGGCCTTCCGCCACATGGTTTAAGGAAGCCAGAATCTTCTCTCCTAGTCCTCCCTTCCTTCTCCTTCTAAAAACATTCAAATTCTGGGCAGCCCTCTTGGGTCCCCCTGCCCCTCTTTTGGAGCTTTGTACTCTCAGTAAACCTTGCTTTTGCTGCTCCACCCCCCCAAAAATAAAAAATAAATAAAACATTCAAATTCCATGACAAAAACTAGGCAGGAACTGGGGATAATACTGGAGGTGTCGTAGTCTCCTGTATAAACACTAAGACAGGAAGAGCTGTGAAAATAGAGGTTCTGGCAATTGTAATTTTTTACAGAGCCCACCAGAGGGTGATAGAGACAGTGGGGGCAGGGAAAGATACCTTCTCAGGCCAGGGGAGTCTCACTAGATGAAAACTTCAAAGAGGCTGGGAATGGGCTAGGAGCTGCCCAGCAGATCAGCTACAGACCCGAGAAGGGAACACGCAAGCTGAAAGCCAAGGGCAGCAGTGTGCTGGTAAGTAGACTCTGACTACCCCACCACTACCACCACCATCCCTCCCCCACCCTGTAAGTATGTGCCAATTTCCACGGTGGGAACACTCCCACCATGGTGGATCTCAGCCGTCAACATCACTGAACCACAAGCACACAACTCCGAGTTGGAATAAGGGGGATCCATCACATGCCTTGGTAAGCATTAGATGTGGATGGATTTCTCTTTATTCTAGAAGGAGGAAAGAGGAGCCTGTGAGAAAAATGTTTCAGGGCAGAGGAAGAAGAACGGTAATAATAGCCAGCCTCAATTGAGCACTGATTATTCTCAGTACTTTATACTTTACAAGAAACGTCTCATTTAATCTTCACGGCAACTCTATGCAGTAGGAGGTATTATCTTAATTTTAAGACAACAATCTCAAGTTTCGTTAGGTAAAGTAATATTTGGCCTGTTCATGCAGCTATTAAGTGGCAGATTTGGTCTTTGGACTGCTGAACTGCAAAGCCCATACACTTAAACTCTAAGCTAAGCACAAAGTAAACCTGCAATAAATGTCCTGATTTCTTGACTCATTATGATAAACTATTCATCTTCCTTATAAATTATTGGCATTTTCACTTCTTTCTCTTCTGAATTAATGAGAGATTTACATCCAAGATCCTTCAATTGCTCTTTCCTAATTTAGAATGACAAGAAGCCTCTCGAGGGAGGATTTTGTGGTGGATGGGGTGGGGTATGGGGGTGTAGGTGTGGTGGGAAATACTCAGAGAACAGGCGAACAGGGTGCTAGAATGCAACATATAGAAAGTAGAGGCTGGGACTGATACTCCCAAACAAAAGCAGCCAGTCATCTATCAACATCTCAGTATTCTCCTAAATTCATGCCAGTCTTTTTCTTTGCTGTCATAAGTGTTAACAGCCATATGGATTAGTCATCCCACACTCTAGCTTCACGCTGGCTTGATATACACAATGACCTTTATTCCCTAACAACTACCTCCTCCCATAGCCACACCTGGGGATCTTTGCACGTCTATGTGGCTCCACCTCTGATGTACTGAATTCTAGTAAATTGCTCACTGACCACAACCTTCTAGCTCTCCCACATCTTACTCCTTCACTTGACCTTTGATCTAGTCAAGCCCCCAGGGACTGCCTCTGTGTTTCCCACTAACTTTCCCCCCTTTCCGTCTTCTCTCCTTTTTTAACTCAGTCTAGACCCTGTGTTGTATCTGTTCAATCACTGTCTCATCAATGATCTCAGCACATTTTCCCCTTTGCCTCCCATCATCCCTCAGTCTTCATCCATCCATCCTCTCAGCCCTTGAATGCAAGTTGCTGAGAAAATCATGCAGTAAGATTCTCTAACTTCAGTTTATTCTTCCTCATAGCCCCACAGTCTTTTGGTAAATGCTTTATCATATTTTTCTCCTATTCCTCACAGAGGCTATTTCAAACTTTTACCACTTTCCTTGATTCCCCTGCCCTACAGATGTCTCTTGAACCTCAGAAGACCTTGACTGCATTTCACCAATGCATTCTGCTGGAGGTGCTCTGCATACTTGGGGCATCAGGGCACTGCAGAGCCCACAGTCCATAAGCCTTTTTAGCAGGAACGTCAGTACCTCTTTCTAGAAGACTACATATTCCTGAATTGTCTGAAAGCCCTAGGGAATTTCACAGTCTGCCTTCCACACCCAAGCAGAGATGGCTCTGGAGTTTGATCAGAACCCACTTCTCACTGGCACATGTATTACTGACACGAAGCCCCTCTGCTGCCAGCTCTCCTGATGATCGTGCAGGAGCTGTGTGGAATATTTAAGAGAGGGAAACCTCCCTCACATAGTATTAATGTCTTCCAAGCCTTCCCACTCTTAGGTTCTCCAAGTTACAGACCTAGAGCAGAGAAAATAGAAAAATGTATGTAAGTTCAAATCTCTCTGAGTCAGCCTTGATCAAATTGAATTCCAGATTGTACCAGAGGTGCCATACGTTTCAATAATAGGAATCTTGGGCCAATGAGATGTTGACACAGACATTTTAAGGTTTCAAAACTCTGAGCTGGCCATTGCAGCTTGTTACAGAGATAAAGATCAAAGGATGGATTCCATTAACCAATCAGATATGTTGAGGATACTAAAAATGTAAACATTAGCCAGGTTGGGGTGAAGGTCCCTTCTTGACAGATTATGTTTCTTATCATGATGAAATTGATTCCTGGCTAGTGTGCATTTAAGAAGTTCAACAGTTACATCTTGGGTGCCTGGGTGGCTCAGTCGTTAAGCGTCTGCCTTCAGCTCAGGTCATGGTCCCGGGGTCCTGGGATCGAATCCCACATCGGGCTCCCAGCTCAGCGGGAAGCCTGCTTCTCCTTCTCCCACTCCCCCTGCTCGTGTCCCCTCTCTCGCTGTCTCTCTCTCTCTGTCGAATAAATGAATAAAATCTTTAGAAAAAAAAAAAAGTTACATCTTGATTTTTAACTACAAGGGCTTATTGTTATATTACCCTTAATTTTGAGACAATGATGCTTATTTTACTTCTTCGTTTTGAGAAACTGTATTTCCTCATTGTTTGTTACAGGAAGTTCAATTTGAATTTCTTCATCAACATTGTAACTGACCTTATTGTAATTAATTCAAACGAGCATAAAGGGATTGTCAGATCCTCTTGGAGTTAGGAAAAATACATCTATGTTCTTCTTTTCGTGGCCGTGATTGTAAAATTAGCTGTGATTATACCAGAATCTTTTTTTTTTCAGTATTTATTGTGAAAAAACATCAACTACACAAAAGTAAAGTGAACAATAAAATGAACTGCCATTTGCCCATCATCCTGATTCGACAATCATCAAGAAGCTGTCACAATTGTAGAAATGCTTTTAGAAGCCAGGGCAAGCGCACGGTGATGGATTGATGGCAGGCCTTTCTCTGGGGGCCTCTCATAGTGTACCCATGCCAGGGGAGTGAGCAGCCCTGAACCACTGCCCAGCCTCCTCACTGGTGAGCTGTGAGCACTGAAGGGGGCTCAGGGGGAAAAAGTTACTAATTAATTAATTAATTTTTAAAAAGCCAATACATGCATTTAGCTGTATATTTAGTAGTGCAAACTGGTCCCCTGAGCAGCTACCTCTCAGGCATCTACCACTGCGCAGTGAGGGAGCTACTCTCTCCCCAGGGCACACCTCAGGGTGAATATTTCTACTTCAGATTTAAACTTTTCTTTATTTTTAAGTTTCATTGGTGTTGTGCTTTTTTTTTTTTAAGATTATTTATTTTATTTGAGACAGAGAGAGTGGGGGGTGGGCAGATGGAGACAGAGTCCTAAGCAGACTCTGCTGACTGCAGAGCCAGAGCCAGAGGTGGGGCTTGATCTCATGACCTCCAGATCAGGATCTGAACCCAAACCAGGAGTCAGAGGCTTAACCGACTGCACCACCCAGGCACCCCGGTTCTGTGGGGTTTTTACACAAACAGGATGCACACATAGTATTCCATCAAACACTATATGGGAGTTGTTACTATTTTTTTCTTTTTTGAAAGATCTGTCTCTTCTTAACTCTGAGGTGACTACATGAACAGGTTGATTTGAATCATTCAAAGCTTTTCTTCAAATCCACACAGTTATGTGCCAACATATGGTGCTAGTTAGTAAGTGCTTGTCTCTTAGCTCCAGGCTACTCCCTGTTTTGTGATGGTGGGATTGTAGCTTTGCTCTCTGGCTTCCTGTTAGGACCCTGGTTGTTTCCGGTTTGCTAACTGACTGGATGAGGTTCTCTCACATCATCCCGGAAAGCATTTTCACTCCTGCAGCTGCACCTGTGGCCCCAGGCAGTGGCAGAATAAGGCTTGCAGCTTTTTTCAACAATTGCAGAACCAGATTCATCACACCCTCTCACTTAGAGATCTTCAAGTTCTCTTGTAGTTATCTAGTTAGCTGACTCTAGTTAACCAATTGATACATAGTTCACCGTTATTTTATATTTAGCTTTCTCCATTTCGTAAATCTGATACGCTTTCTCTCCTCCTACTAGACATGGACACAGAAATATTCATATGTTGGAATTTTTTCATTCTCCTTATTTATGTATGTATTTTTTACAATAAATGGGATAATGCCCATTACTTCGCAACTTGCATTTTTCACTTAATGTTTCATGGACAGCATTTCCAGGTCAGTATATATAACTCTAACTAATTTTCTCAATAGCTGCATAATATTCCATCATATGGACAGACTGTAATTTATTCAACCATTCTGTTGACAGATATACAAGTCAAGTCCTGATTTTTTGCTACTACAAAAAAATGCTTCAATAAACATTCTTGTTCATATATCCTCTATACTAATACATTTGTTTCTATTTAAAAATCACTAACAGTGGGATTGCTGTGTCAAAGAATGAGGTATTTATATTTGTGTGACACCATGTATACTGAATTGAACTGGTCTTACTCTTCAGTTTATGACACTGTATCATGGATTCCCCTCTAGAGCCTCCAGAAAGAACACAGCCCAGTCAATGCCTTGATTTAATCCACGAGACCCATTTCAGATCTGTGACCTTCAGAACTACAAGATAATAGATCTGGTTGTTCTCAGCTGCTAGGTTTGTGGTAATTTATTACAGTAGCAATAGGAAACCAATACATTGTTCTTATTAAGTTTAGGAATTAATGTTATATATCTCATACTCACCTAATCCCACTACTTAAATTTTTTTTTTCTGAGTCAATTTGATAAGATAGATGTTACTAGATTGTTGTCCAAAGTGTGAAATTCATGTTTCTCCAACAATGCGTGAAATCTTTTCCACTAATTTCCATAAGTAAGGGACACTATTGATTCTTTTATTTTTTATTTTATTTTATTTTTAAAAATTTTATTTATTTGACAGAGAGAGACACAGAGAGAGAGGGAACACAAGCAGGGGGAGTGGGAGAGGGAGAAGCAGGCT